CCCCAAAACCCCAAAACCCCAAAACCCCAAAACCCCAAAACCCCTATAAGGGCCAAATGTTGATTCCTTATTAATAATTATTTGTAAATGAAGAGAGTGAACAAACAAAGGAAAAGGGAGATTTCCAAAAAGAAGTTCTGTGAAGTATACATAGGCTCCAACTCAAGTATTAGCACCACTCATCAGACGACGAGGAAGAATATTAGAAGAGTCTATGCAAGCAAGAACCAGAGGAATAAATCTAGAATTATAATCCAGGAAGCTACTCAAAAGTCACTTGCTGCAAACGAAGTCAAGACTGGCAAACAGATTCGAAGATCGTCTCAGAACCGAGTTGCCAATCTGCCTCAGGTCGGGATCCTTCACTCTATTAAGAACTTGAACATCTTTGCTGGTAAGATGAATGGCAGACTTGGGCTGAGACCTATTGTTGTTGAAAGAGCTAAGCCTGAGTATCTTCCTACAATTGATAATGCGACCATTTTCACTTCAAAGAATAACAAGTCTTTCGATGACCTGAAAGCTACTATTAAGAAGAGGAGAAGGATCAAGAAGATCATCAATGCTGCTAGGACTACCATCCCTTACTTGAAGACCGAATCGAATCCCATGGTATCTAAGCTGAGTATGAAACTCTTCAATTCTTCTGGGATGAGAATCTTGAAGACCCTAATAGACAAAGAAGAAAGCTACTCTACTCCTCTCTCTGACCATGATGTGACTCCTAAAATGAGGGCAAGGATGGTAGACTGGATGCTTGAAGTATTCTCAGTATACAAGAAACCGGAAGATACATATTTCCAATCGGTGTACCTTTTGGACAAATATCTTTCGCTTACTGATAATATACTGGACGACTCACACATCCATCTGCTAGGAGTTACTTGAATGTTCTCAGCTTCGAAGTATCTTGACTATGAGTGCATTAGCTTAAAGGATATTTGCAAGAACATATCCCATGAAGTTTTTGATGAGAATAGCATACTCAAATGCGAAAATAAAATTTTGGAAACTCTTGATTTTCAGTATGATATCACTACCCCATTCCATTTTATCTCGACAATACTGCTAATTGTCAAAACTCTTGTCGATGATGAGAAGAACCATCAGCTACTTTCATGCTTGGAGTTGACTTCTTTTCAGTATGCTAAGATGAGCCTGATCAACAAAGACTTTTGACAGCTCAAGCCATCAGAAATTGCTTTTGGCGCAATTTCTAATGCATGAAATTTTTTGATTAAACCTCAGTCACATCATACTCTAAGAGAGATATCAAGTTTCACGAAGGATCAAGAAGTGATCAACAACATTGTAAGGCTCTTCCAAATCATGCTCCAGAAGTCGGTCTTCAAGGACATAGACATTGACACTATAGAAGATGCTATGGGAAGTCATTTGGCTCACTTTGATGAAGAATTTTCATATTGAACAAATGCTCATAAATTTTCATTGATGACTAAGTAAGAATTCCTTTCAAAATTTTAAATCTAAAAGGGGTTTTGGGGTTTTGGGGTTTTGGGGTTTTGGGG